GGGGGGGGGGGGGGGAGGGCTTCGTAAGGGACCGGCATCACAGTGTCATTCACAAACGAGCAGACTCCAGCGTGCCAAAATGAACTCCTGAGGCGCTGTTTGACGCTGCACCTGGCCAAAACGACCCCCCCCCCTTCATACGCACGCTGGCTTGGTGGCGTTCTGCTCAGCGCACAGGCGCCATCTGGGTGGCCCTGGATGAACCAGCCCCCAGCCGGCGGCATCGCCCGCACACGCGGTGCTCACCTGCATCGAGGCAGGATGTCTGACAGCATCCGCCCCATGACGCCGTCGCTCAGCAGGCCAGACTGCACAACCGCCACACGGGCCAAGGGCCTCTGAGACGCCTGGGTACGGGGACAAACGGTGACGCCAGAATGCAGGCGTGGGGGGCCGACGGGGAGGGGCTAGACAAGCCCCTTGGCGGGCCGTGGCGGTGAAATCAAGAGGGGAGTGGGTTCGCCCAGGCCGGCCCAATGCGCTCCATTTGCACGGCCGGCGGGCCCCGTTGCCCGCCCGCTTGCAGCGTGCATGACCCCATTCGACCCCCACGAGCAGCCGCCGCGCCGCCCCGCCGCCTGGCCCGCCGCTCACGGCAGAGATTGCCTCCGCGGCGCAGCGCCTCAGGCTGTACCAGCGGCTGAAGGGGCCGCCGCCGCCGCTGCGGCCGCCGCCGCCCCCGCTTGCGCTGGCGGCGGCACGCCAGGGCAGCGCTACTGGTATGTCCAGGGGACTGCTGCTTGCCGCCAGGTCGCCCCCCCGCGGCCAGTCGGACGTCATAAGTCGCACGAGGGTGTGCATCACCTGCGGCATGCACGCATCTTCTGGGCGGTGCGGACGACTGCCGCGATCCGCCACACTCCCCGGCGCTGGTTGGTTTGCAGCTGCTGGCCCAGGCGAGCACCCTACCCAGGAAAGGAATGGCCATGCCCATGACTCACATGCGCCGCTTTGAGCTCGGGGTCATTCGCCGCTACTCGGGCGGCATGCAGCAGGTGCCGCGCTGCGGCGACGCGCTCCAGCACGGGAGAGGATTCATTCTCTGCTGCAGCAGCAGTGCTGCTCAGGCGTTCCACCTCTGCCTGATCCACCTGGCGCATTAGCGCTGAAAGCATGTCATCTATGGACATGTTGGTATCAAATGTCGTGCATGTGCACGTTTTCGCGGGATGTAGATCAACAGTTGTGGTGTTGTAGCGCGAGGCTTGCCCGCTGTTAAAGGGTGCTTCTCACAAGGATAATTTGTCAAACAAAGGATCATTTGCTGGCTCGTTCTCGGTTGTTCAATGTGTAACCTGGTACCAACACTAGTGACAGTGTCGTGCAGTGAGGCAGCCATGCCCTTGGTGCCTGCGGCTGCCGCTATGACCCTGCGTGCTGATCAACAAGGACATGCCGCACTGTACGCCTCTGACTCATTGCAGTGGCATATGGTCGGATTCGGACACGTCAAGGCCTTGCTGTCCGCCAGGGGGCTGGCATGAGTGAACCCCTCCTGTATCGGGCAGACATGAGCATTGGAGTTTCAGGATTTTGCACTTGAACACCATCGCAAGTTTTGTCGACACTCAACAAGCTGTAAAATTATTGGCACGGCCATGCACTTGAGGTGTGAAAAGCGCGTCTCACCTGATCAGAAGATGTTGAAGGCAAATGCTCGTTGGGCGGGCGGGATGACAATGGATGCGCGCCAATATCCACACAACCTCAATGCTCTGCAAATTTCTTATGAATAATACGTACCCAAGGTGCGTCGTAGGACCCCCTCAAAAGTGGGGTACCTCCGCCCCCCAACGCTTGCAGGTGAGTTGTGGAGTGGGAACGCCAACAGCGAAGACTGCACGCCGCCAGGTGCTTGAGCAGCCAGGTGGCATGGAGGCCTGCACGTCCGACGCATGTACAGTGTGTTGTGGCACAGCGCGAGTGCCCTGCAGTTTTTTGACCAAGCGTAGTAGAACTACATTGCAAACCGGCTTGCAGCGATCGGCGCCGCTGCGCGGGCCTGCTCACTCAGGAAGCCACGGGGCGAGCACTGCCCTGAGATGTGGGTCTCGGCGGCAGTTGTATTGCAACGGACAGTCGGGCTAATCAAAGGGTGCTTTTGCAGGATTGTCACAATGTGGGGTCCTCAAGTTGAAGCGAGCAGACACTGAATTTTGGATGGACGGTTATGTGGATATATCCACTTGCAGTTCTGGGTTGATGGCGCATCTTGCTCGGCTGCTGGCGAGGCGACGAGAGCGCCAGCAGCTCGTGCGTGCAGCCAAAGGTGAGCAAGTGTGCGTGCGCCCAGCTGCTGCAGCAGTGATTCTTGTAAAGCTAGACGCCGCTTGCAGGCTGGTGCAATACACACAGCAGGACCACCCAGGCGACACCATTGACTCATTTGGTGCTTCCGAAGCGGTGTGAGTACACCCAGCCTCTCAGGCGTGGGTTGGAGTTTTTTGTCACCGGCGGTATGCGTCAGTGGACACAGGTGCACAAACATGCAGGATATTGACAACATGGCACAGATCATGCGTGTAAGGGCATTGTCGACTGGCACTTTGATGGCACCCTGTGAGATCCACAAATCATTGACCAGAAGCACAAGCCAACCACACCAGCAGCCGTCAAGCCCAGCAAAATCCGACACATGAATTGTCACATGGTTGAACCGTAATTGGAGGCATGAACAAAACTCTGATCATGCCTTGAAGCACAGCGTCATGTCCCCCTGGCGATGCCTGGTCTTCCCGGCTGCCACAACCCTGTCCATTGCTACCTGACACCTCCTTTCCAGCATACTCGTTCTCTCGGCTGGCGCGCATGTATCCTGCCGCCGTCAGAGCCCAGATTGCCGCAGGAAAGCATCCAAATCGTCGTCTGCAGCCCAGTCTGGGAAGGGGGCTCCGATGCCCTGTCTGTGGACCGTAGCCAGCTGTGCTGGTGTGGCCTGGGAGACAGTCAACATTGATGGCATGAGCCCAGTCGCCCCCGGCACAAATGGCGCTGCGCCCGTTGGGGAGATGTCCAAGCTTGGAAATGACTGCTGAGAGCCGCGCATGGAGCTAGCCATTGCTGCTGTGAGCGCCGAAAAGTGGGGCTGGGGCGGCGCCAGTGACCATGCTTGCATGGGGAAGGCACCGTGAGGGAGCCGCTGATGCTGCTGCATTGCTGGGGAGTAAGACGCTGGCAGGCACGACGACAGCATCTGCGGTGCTGCCAGTCCGTCCCAAGGCGACAGCTGCGAGACCGCTGACGACTCCGGCTGCTGTGCCTGCTGCAGCGCGTGCACTGGCTGACGCCAGTTGTGCGAGGCGTCAAGGGGCTGCTGCATGCCCAGCTCCCAGATCTGCTTGTCAAGCATCAAGGTCTCTGCTTCTTCAAACGACAACTGCCGCTGCGGCGGCTGCGACTGCAGCTGCATTTGCTGCTCTTGCTCCTGCTGCCACATCAAACGTTGCTGCTGCTCCTGGGGCGATGGCAGCAGTGGCAGGCACTGCTGCTGCTGCTGCTGCTGCTGCTGGCGGTGGTGGTGCTGCTGCTGCTGCCGATGGTAGTGGTGATCATGCTGCTGCTGCTGCTGTTGTCGCTGCTGCGGTGGCGACTGCGACCTTGGGATCAGCAGTGGCGGCGGTTGGTGGCCGCGGTAGTGCCGGGGCGACTGTGACTCAGATTGCAGCGGCGGCGACGACGAAGAGGAAGGCAGCCGTACCAGTTGCGGCTGTGCCATGCCCTGCGTGGCGTGGCTTTGAGGCTGCTGCGCCTTTGATTGTACAATCTGCAGCAACACCTGCTTCACGTCTGGGGGGCAGGTGTTGGCCTGCACAGCTGCATCCAGGCGGTGGAGGAGCCCGGGCGAGATGGCGCCGGCTGTATAGACCGAGAAAATGGCGATTGAGACGGGGTTTGTGAGATTCGGAAGTTCGCGATTGTGGAACAACGCCTGCGTGCCACCGATGATCAAATCCTCCCTTTGAAGGCATGCATGCCCAAAACATCTTTATGCTGAAAGCGTCAAGCCCAACCTCTTCACAGTATCTCTGCTCCATCCGTGATAAGAGGCATGTGCGCCATGACTAGGTATGCAACGAGGTCCTGTTGCAAGTCCCTACGGCCACGTGGCACGGTGGCACGCAAGTAACCATACTCACCCCTCACGATCTCCAGCAATTGCGGCACGTTGGGCAGGGTCCCGCCCAGTTCTGCCAACGATATGGGACGCGACAGCCTCCCCTCCTGCACAATTGCAATGGTAGCGGGGGCAGGCTGTCAAGTCAAAAGCGAGGCAGGCTGTTGAGTAAGAAGCAAGGGAAGGTTCTGCGAACCAATTCAAGCGGGAGCCGGAAAGTTTGGTCAAAGGGCGGGTCACCCGGGGCTGGCTGCATGCGGGATCTCGCTGCATATGACAGCCTTGCAACAAGGGCGCCCTGTGAAGCCCTCCACACACCTTGCAAAACTCCTCCGAGTCGACGTGCGACAAAAACCATCCAGTGTGCGCCGGCGCCCGCCAGCCGTCGCGCGCGGCCGCGCGCAGGCGCTGCTCCTCCTGGCGCTGGTCTGGTGTCTGCTGCTGCGCCGGGATGACGTCCACCAGCGCGCCGCGCCGCAGGAGAAGGCCTGCGTTGAGCGCGTGGGAGAGCGCTGGTTGAGCAGAGGTGCGTGCACGATTGCGCTGAAACTCATTGCCAAACCTTGGATGCCAGCATTGGGGCGACCCACCGAAATGGGGGGCGAAACGTCAAACATGGTGCCTTTTTATCTGTAAGCCCAAAAAAAGATGGCAGCCACGCGGGGCGGCCGGATGTCACGGGTGCCGAGCCACACCAAATCGTGATCCTTCCAAGAAATGAACACCATCCCGCTCGCCTGCCGGGCGGTCCAGGTCGACCTTGGCCTGGGCGCAGAGGAACAGCAGCCCGCGCTCCATTGACCTGCGAAAGAGAAGATAACGCCGGCGAAAGGACACAGGGAGCACTTGAGAAATTTGCACTGGAGGATGCTCGCGGGACTGGTTGAGGATCTCAAGCGTGTGCCGTGTTGCGCAGCGACAGGCCAGCGCACGCGTCTGTGTGCTAGAGCGCCGTGATCCTCACCCTGCATCCTCAAACCAGGCCCTCATGCGGCTGTCCGGCTCCACGGCTTGGCCCACATGCTCCACCACCTCCTCCCAGGCGTCCTCGCCCAGAACCAACAGCTTCTGAAGCTGCGGTTTTGTGGGAGGCATGACATGTTTTGCAGGGAGCGTGTGGAGGTCGAGTGCTTTGGTTCAGACGCCAGAATCCTTGCTGTTGCATAGGTCATACACGCGTGCGTGGTTTGCCATTGGGCGAGGCGTAGGCCTTGGCTTGGGTTGGTTGACGAGCCTGTTGCGCCTGATGGCGCCCCGGAGACATGTGCCACTCCCACTCAAGACGGGCCTGCTCACCTGGGCTCTCAGGGCGCTGTTGGCAGACGCGAGTGCAAGCAAGCTCTTCAGCTGCCCCACGTGCGTGATCGCAGTCGCGAAGCCGGCAGGAAGTTGCAGCTCCATGCGTTTCTGTGAACCAGGCGGGTAGCGCGGGCAAACGCAAGGGCGCTCAACCATTGAAGCATTGCATCGAGGCACATATGTGAAGCTCGGGGTGCTGCGCAGATCAAATATGCAATGCAGTGAGATCCCCTGCCACCACTAGTTTGTAGCTGCTACAAAACATCAGCTTTTCAAGTGTATAAGGGCAGGTGCAAACAAAGCCGGGAGTGAAGAATACGAGGTAGGCAGGTAGGAGGGGGAGGCAGGACGAACGGCCAAGGGACAAGGCAGAAACGTGATGACGAGCGCTAGGGGGACCTTTCCAGGCCTGAACCCTCCCCATCCCTTGGTCCCGCACCTCTGCTGCCGCGGCCCGCAGGTCCTTGAGCTTGGCGCACGCGGCCTTGCCGAGGTTGACAATCCCCCTGGCCTCGTCAGTCGTCAGCGGCAGCTCCACCTTCACATCGCCCTTCATGCGCGCCGTGGCCACGGCGAAGCCCTCGCTGATCGCCGGCCGCAGGTTGATCAGGGACGCACTGGCGGCAGCTGACACATCGGCGGCGGTGCCGGAGGCGTCGGCGGCGCCGCGAAGGCGGGCGCGGACGAGGATCCTGAACTGAGGCTTCTTGCCCTTTCCCTTCAGAAGCTGCTCGCCACTGGCGTTGATCTTGGGGGCGGAGGGCAGCGGTCACAGTAGGGTGGGGGTGGGTTTGGTGACAGCTTTGAGCGGGCAGGGGCCAACGGGTCGCCACAACCCACAGTGGTGTGAGGATAAGGCCGTTGGCAAGTGTACCTGGCTCTGGCTGGTGGACAGGTAGGTGCGGTGCTGCCGCAGAGCTTGTGTTTGACGGCGGCACCGAGCATGCAGGCGCTTGCCATGACACGTGGACACGCGGGCCAGCACGCACCCGGAGCTCTGGCAGCGTTGCGCAGCCGTCCAGGATCTGCATGTCCAGCGTCGTCACGCCGCCCCAGCCGCTGCGACCCCCGCAGCTCAAGTCGGCCGGCTGCCGGCCGCCCATGAGGGCGAGCAGGGCGCCTCCGTTCGCTGTCGCTGGGGGGAGGCTGATGGCTTCTATGTCCGCCTCGCTGGCGCGCGCGAGCCTGAGGGGGTGTGCAGTCAAGGGCGGAGTGATGGGATGTGATCACAGGTCATCAGCTGAGCCATTTCCGATGGAACGGCAGGGGCAAGAACGAATGAGGGGCCTGGAAGGCAACGAGACAGCACAACACCGCCCATGTCTAACACAGTGATGCCTCCACGCAGCAAGGCGCTGGGGACGGCTGCCCCTGTTGATGCCGCGAAAAGACTGCTCTTGGTTATAAAAGCAAGCAGACCACCACAGGGGTGTTAGGGCTGAGCGGCTCTTCGACGCTGCCGTGTGAACCAGCACGCATCTGGCCCTTGGGCAGCACGCCCGCATCAGAACGCAGGAGGCCTTCCTGGCTCTCACCCGGCGGCCTGGTCAGCGAAGCGCGCCTCGTACAGCGCTCCCTCCACCACCCTGAGCTCGAGGTACAGCCCGTCGGGCAGCACACCGGTGTACAGCTCGCCGGTGCGGCGGCGCACCAGCTCCAACCGAAGCGAGCCGCCACAGCGCGCGGCCAGGCGGTCGCCGACCAGATAACTGCGGCCCAGCTGCCGGCCGCACGGGCGGTCGGGGCTGCGCTCGCACAGCGGGCAGGCGGCGTCGGCACAGCCCTTGGCCCTGCGCAGGCGCGGTGGGGGACAAAGGCGGAGCAGCGCTTCGAGGCAGCGAGCTGCGGGCGGAATTGGCAGCAAGGTAAGACGCCCCGCCTAGCAATTCGGCGGGGCGCTGGCGGCTGCACTTGGTAATGCGCCGGCCAGGGGCAGGGGCAGGGTGGCGGTGCAGTCCGCCGACCAGTCGCGCTCCCCGCCGATGCCTCCTAACAGCCAGCCCCGCTCACTGGCAGTCGTGCGCGAAGAGCAGCTGCAGGTCAAGCGCCTCAAAGGTTTGAGCGCCTGCCGCTGTCTGCCCGGCCGCCGTCTGCGAGCCGCCAGCGGCGCCGCTGTTGGTGCCGCTGCCGCCGCCGCTGTCGCTGGTCGTGTCGTCGGGCGGGGGCAGGTCCTGGAGGGCAGAGCCAGCGGCGCGCTTGATGGTGTTGAGAAGCCCGGGGGAGAGCTCCTCAGACTCCAGGACGGCCTCGAGCTTCGCCAGAAATCGCTGCACGCGGCCCTCGTCGCAGCTCTGACGCTGCAAGGTGGGATTGGGGGGAAAAGAGCGGGGCCGTGCGGCGGAGGCCAGGCCGCGTGTTGCGCGGTGCGCGGGGCACGCGGGCGCGGCGGGCATCAGGCGGGTCACGGGGCGCGCAAGGTTACCCCCTCCAACCATTACGCCCGGTTTAACGTCAGCAGCCGCAACTGTGGGCAGTGCGGTCGTGCTAAGATGCACGTGAGTGTCCAATGAAACTAAGCACGTTGCCACCTGGCTGGAGTGCGTGCACGTGGGCTCCTGCGTCAGTACTCTCGCAGATTGTGTGCTTGCGCTGCGCTTCGCCCCAGAGCGCGCACCTTGGTGTCCCCGGGCCGCAATGCCAGTCCGTCTACGCATCGCTTAGTTCCTGTGACGACCTGCCGTGACGGCTGGCTGCTCGTGGACGATGGGTCGGACGAGTGCCCTGAGGATGCCATACCTACCGCGCCTGAGGTGGCTGCAGCCTGCAAATATGACCAGTGTAAGGCCTATGAATCGAAAAACTACTTGAATATGATTAGCTGCTCGCAGCAGGTGAAGCGCCTTCCGTGCGTGCACGTTATTCCATGGCCATCGGGCTTCACTCCTTCACGCCCCAGTGCCCAGAGCCGAGCCTCGCGAGGGGGTCTCCACGGCACACGGATGTGCGACCATGTAACTAGAGCGCATTTCTGACCTACCTTTCCGTCACACTCCATCCGTGCTGTGCATGAGGTTGTAAAGGCACACAGCAGGGGCACTGGCTGCGCTTTGCAGCTATGTGTGGTGCTACAAGTGCCTAGGGCGCGATCTTTGCGCCATTATGCTGAAAATCTCACTTCGCTGCATCAGTAGAGCGGGTGGCATCCATGGCAGCAGCATCGCCCCATGGGCACTGCGCCCCCCGAGCGGCCTGCGTTGTGGCTGGTGGTGCTGCGCGGCTGACTCATGATCCCTGACACAGCCTAATTGCTCGCCAACGCATCAAAAGAACAAACAGAAATTAATAAGTGCTCATTGATGCATGCCGCACGCACATGCACTCTTGTCTCAGGTGGGCTGCCAGGCCGCGGGACACGTGCGGGGAGGGCAGCCTGCCGCCACCCGAGGTGGCTGCCGGTGGATGGACGCGCTGATGTACCATATGCCAGGTGCGCTTGCAACGGATAGAAAAAGAGACTGCGCAGTCTGCAATGCCCGCATTAATCAAGGATGAGGGGGCTGGCTTGCGGGGGCGGAGGCCGCCGCGCCGGCCCCCCACCCAAGGTGTTGTGACAGAAGACAATCAAGATGACCTCTGGTTGGTGACTTTGCATCAGATCCACGCACATACAAAAACTACGCTCTCCTCTGCTATCACGCTATGACGACATGCAGCTTGCCATGTATGGGGCTTTAACATCGCACAACTATGCCACCATATACATGCATCAAACACGCGGTGGTTTTTGATCAGCAGCAACAAACAGGCATTCCAGGGATGGCATCGATCGCCCTCACATACCCCGTTGATGCCACTTGCTTACTATGGCGCCGAACAGTAGTGCTAACTTCCCAGGTACGTACAGCGGATTCAAAGCCAAGGAAAAGTGCAAGGCAAGAGAGCCAAGTGGGTCTGCATTCACACACATCCCACCTATATGCACAAACCCCCTCACATTAGTGCACCAGTGATATCGTATCACTGGTTCCTGTGACAGGAGCAGGCACAGTAACGCAGGAATCAATGTCCTTGTTCACGCAGCCACCACCGCTCTATAGGGGGAGGCTTGCTTTGCAGCCCTGCCACAGTGGTGAGCGGCCTCTGATTAATTCCCACTAGGCCGCACCCGCTTGCTGCTCTGGCCTTCCAGGTTGGGGCGAAATCCCTCATGGGGAGCCAGAGATTTCCCTCAGCGTGCGAGGCGTCAGCGTATGTAGCGCCACGTCACTCATGAGCGGATATAGACAGGGGCATCAGCCTGCCTTGATGGGGGCTGCGCGGAGGTTTCAGCCTATTGCACAGGTGACTACATAATATGCACGGCGTGGCTCCTGCTGGTCTCTTGACGGCAAAAAGATGCTAGTGTACGTGCCAGCAATTGCGAGGGTGGAAGGTGTGCCTGATGCGCACGGCAGCATGTGAGAGCAGCGGGGAGGACATCATTCTGCTGCGTTGCCTGAACCTGCATTGGAAACTGGCGCAAGTGGCAAGCCATGGGCCAGGCGGTTGCATGTGCTGCGATGCTGACCTCACGAGTTCAGCTGGGGTACGATATGTGGCTGTGTGCATCCCAACTACTGAGTGATGCTAAATCTGATCAAGGTATGGATATGATAAGCGCTGTTGTTGTTTGTATCACAACGTACCGTATCGCACGTCTTCCCTCTTCACAACTGAGAACAAGCGAGCAAGTCCGTCGTCGCGATCAGGAACGTGATTGTCAATTACACAACGAGCAGCACAGCATACACTAAACATTCAAGCTGTACTTCCACGTTTTATGAGTTGCCCTGTCAGTCTTGCAAACGATCAGACTTATACCGTAGGAGGCTCCTCCGCCTTGTGCAGTGCTTTGTAGAGAAATTTTAGTGAACCTGCAGTATGAATTCGGCCTTCAGCAGGCGATCGGCCACGCATCGCATGGCAACGATTGCCACAGTGCCACGCGCGGGGCCTGCACGACGGTCCCGGCTGGCGGTGAGGGCAGCGCTCACGACAGCACCGCCGAAGCCCCTGCGGAAGCCCAATGGTGTGCGTGCTGGGCGGTCGTATTCGCCTAGGCTGATCACTGTGCAACACGAGATGGGGCAGGGAGCCTACAGCACTGTTTTCGAGGTGCGGCTGGGATGATATGCCCAGCTGCTTGACAGCACGCTGCGCCACAGCTGACTGTACATTTATGTTGTTGGCATGGGGCAACTTTTTGACGGTCACAAAGCTGGGGAGCACTGAGATGGAGTCGAAATGTGAAATGGGGGCCCACGCCCCTGCGCTCAGTGCTGCACTGGGCATGGGCGAGCGCCTTGCATCGCGGCTGCCGGCACCCTCACATTTTTGCAACGGCGCCGACGCGTTGTGGCCACGGCGTGTTGCTGATTGCGTTGCTGTAGGGCCTGATGGACCTGGATGGAGTGCAGGAGCGGGTGGTGCTCAAGCGCGTCAAGCAGGGGGTAGAGGTGCGCCGTGGCTCTTTGCCTGAAATATTAACTGCGGACAGCAGGCAGCCCGCACTCTTCGTGCCCAAGCTCAATGGCGCAACAGAAACTGGAAAGGCTTGCTTGGACGAAGCGGTCGCTGATGCGCCCACAATATTTGACACACTTGCTGGCAGCCCTCCCCTCATATCCTCCCTTGCCTGGCTGTCCACCTGCCTGGCTGCGTCCCTCCCTGCCTGCCTGCCTGCCTTTTTTTGAAACGTAGGGTGCCGAGGAGATGGTAGAGATGGAGGCCCTCATGAACATCAACGCTTCCAAGGGCACTGCCAGGGGCGCAGTGGCCGCCTTCCTGGGCTACTGCTGGGTGGAGCCCCGTGATGCCGCCGGAGAGCTCACACCTGGGTTGTGGCTGGTGTGTGACGGGTTGAGGAGAGGGATGTGTGAGTGCTTGCATCATGGGCAGCCCAGCTGGCGTGCTGATTGGCTAGTTTCCGGGCATGTCGATGGAGCCGTTGGGGACCTGACTCAGTAGAGTCGTCATGCAGCAAGGCACCATTCAAGGGGATGGTGTTGGCCGTGGCGGTGATGCTAGCTCGATTCTTGTCGCTGTGCCACCCCCTGGTTTGCTTCAGCTTTGGTGTCAGATTTGCCTATCAACCCCGTCTTCCTGCCGCGCAAACAGGTCTGGCGCTACGAGGGCTCCAACACCCTGGCCTCATACCTCAACCGCCGCGACGGCCTCGACGCGCTTGCGGCAGACCTGGGGGTGGCGCCGAGCGACGTTATCCAGACAGCTACCGGCCAGATTCTCTCTGCGCTGGCGGAGCTGCACGCAGCCGGCCTGGTGCACCGAGATTTGAAACCCGCAAACATTATCCTGGCGGAGGCCGAGCGCCGGCTCAAGCTCATTGACCTTGGCGGCTGTGCAGGTGAGGGCAGCGTAGTGTGCAGGACCGCCAGACAGCAGGCGCCAACCGCCCGCAACGGCTGGCAGGTTGTTGCTGGTGCGCTGAGGACAGGTTGCTGTGCTTGATACATCGTGTCGGCGGCAGATCACTGATGGCTGTTGTCGGTGGCCTTTGCACTTGTGCCTTCAAGCTTGGCCATCCTGCCCGAATCTTGACATTGACTTATTGCCACATCCTTACGCCATTCACCTTCTCAATCCTGCTTGCAGACCTCCGCAGCGGCACAAACTATGTGCCGGGGGAGTGCATCTACGATCCGCTCTGTGAGATACATGGCTGCTGCTGGTCAATTTGCCTGGAGTGTGCGTGGGGCAGGGGTTGCATCTAGGGGCAATTGGGGAGGCTGGTATCGCCAGGAATGCACAGACATCGACAACCACTGACTTCTGGTTACTCTTTATCTCCTGCATGCCTCTTTTTATTGTAGATTGTCCCCCGGAGCTGGTGAGTTGCTGGAGCCAGCAACCGGCGGTCATGCGCTTCGCATGATTATTTGTCTCAGCTCAGTCTTCTGTTGCACATGCCTTCAACACTGCTCGTGCATGCGCAGGGCTTGTGCAGCCCACGCCTCGGCGCAGCCCGTGCCTTATGCTGCGTTGTGCCCTCCTGTGAGTTCCCAGCACTCCTCCAGCCACCCATCCAGCTCGCAACTCCAATCCCTGCCAAACACCACTCCTCCCAGTACGTGCTGCCGACTGCCGGCCCCCACATCGCCAAGTCCCTGCTGGCCCAGGCCACCTCCTCCATGCTGTGGGCGCGCCACAAGCCGGACCGCTACGACTGCTGGTCCGCCGGCATCACGCTGCTGTGCCTCGCGGTGCCAACGCTCAGGAACGACGCGGCCCTGCTCCGGGTGAGACGATGCAGGCGCTCCGCGTGGGGGATTGCTGCTGTTGCTTGTGGTCTCACATCAAACAGCTGGGCCCGCGGTTCTCCGGGGCGGCCCACACTCCTGCTGTGTGCATACCTTTTTCAACAACGTACCTTTGTAAATTGTGCCTGCATGATCGTTGCGAGCCAAAGCGCGTGCCTCTCCTCTGTGTGTCAACCCTTTTCCTGTCGCTCTGCACTGCCACCCAACTCAAACCAGTTCCAGCAGGAGCTGGAGGCCGCGGATTACGAGCTGGACGCCTGGCGCGCCTCGTCGCGGTTCGTCAAGCCCACGGACTTTGCCGCCCTGGATGCAGACGGCGGCGCCGGCTGGGAGCTCGCGCGCGACCTGCTGCGGCCGCGCGACATCGTCGTCGCTGCCGACGGCGCTGTCGACTTTGTGGCGTCTTCAGAGGTCAGGCGCATCTCCGCGGCTGACGCGCTGAAGCACAGGTGCGGAGGCCGGCGGTTTCGGGGCCGCCGGCCCCACGCTGGTGCTGCCAACGCGTGGCTGCTGTCCTAGTCGCCTGATGTTTTCTTGTCTGAGATGTGCGCCAAAGACGCGCATGGCCTCACATCTCTCGTAAGGTGTTTAGCGGACGACTATCCATCCTTTGATCGCATGTATGTGCAGTCTGTATATAGCTGACGTCTGTAGATACCATCACCATCATCCATCAAAGCAGCCAAACTGTTGCTCAATAGTCTCTCTGGTACACACACTTCTGCCCCACAGGTTTTTGGAGCGCGTCTTTGCGCCTGAGCCGCAGCGCGCTGCCGGTTCCCCAAAGGAGCAGCGTGTGGCCCCTGGGCCACACCTCTCGGACCTTCCGGCGTCCCCTTCTCCTGAGCCTGGCGCCAACCCCGCAGGCGTCAGCGGAGGCGGCACGGGGCGCCGCCGCGTGGGCGGAGCGGGGCAGGGCCTGCTGCGGGGCCTGAAGGGCGCCCTTCTCGGCCGCCCTGCCGGCCGGCCGCACCCAGGGATGCGGGCAACAGGGCATGGCGACCGTGATTAGTTTGCAGCGATGGCGGGTGTGGTTGTTCAAACGGCATTGGGATTCACAGGTACTCCTGCAGATACTCCTGCAGATGAACATCGATTTGGAATGCCCTTTTTTCTGGTCACCTCGTGTCAAGACCAACCCGCATTGGTCTTGACGAGGTACCCATCAGCAGGCTGAGGCACACTGGCATCCAGCCGCGATGCTGAAATAGAGTCAACATGTCATCCCCCGCTGCATCCACCTCCCGGCCGCTGCCCAGTCTGTACCATCTGAAATCAGGCGACGGCCTTCCCAGTAAGCCTGCAATGGGCTGCCAGATCAGTGCTGCTGCATGCGTCGACAGCACCCACTGGACTGTGCACCTGCCTCTTGCCGAGAAGCAAGATTCTTTGCCAGCCATCATAAGCCCCCTTTTTGCCACCAGAACCGTTCCACAATCATCATTTTCTTGTGTGTTCACAAGGCCTTGGTGGTGCAGTTCCACCTGATTCCCGCTGCTGACCCACTGCACCATGTGGGGTTTGGCGTGCGATGCTTTAAGCCAGGAGATGGCTTTGCTGTGTGGCAACGCGTGCTGTGCTGCATGGGCCTTTGCCATCGGCATCAATTGTTTGGTATGATTTACAGGGAGGCATGCATACACGTTGGTGCTTGCGCACAATCCTGCTTCTTTGCCTTGGTCGAGATTGCCAACATGGCGCCCAGTCTGCATGGAAAGAGAAGATGTAACCAGCAGATTTGTTCTGGTGTTCTTGCTGGCTGGTGCGCGTGTGCCGCCATATTCCTGATACGCAGAAGCTTTGTGTTTTGAGTAAGTTTTGTCATGTGTGTGTTTTGAACCTCATGCATGCCACAGGGTTGGCCAGCACGCGTCTGTTGTATCGATCCACGCCCGCCATATGATGACCACTCTCGTGCCCGGCAGTGCTGCATTAGGTCACGGATGTTGACTGCATGCAGCTGCGCAAGCGCCTGAAAGCAACAGTAACACTCTTGGTGCTGCGTACTCACCCTGGGGTTGCATCAGGGTGCAGTCGGCCACTACGCCAAAACAATGGATTTGCTAAACCGGCTCCACTCAAGCTGACACGCAAGGACTGGCGCAGTGCCCCATCACTCTGGGCTGCGAACAAATATGAACGACCCGCCTGGCGCCTGTGCGCGGCCTATGAGCACGTCGCTGTCAAGGTAGGTCAGGAGGTAGCCCGCGCCCACAGCGCGCCCGGCGGCCACCTGCTGCGCGCTGCGGAAGGGAAACCGAAGGTTGAACTGCGTACCACGCCGGGGAAAGGGACAGGGCGAGGAGTAGAGGTTGAGACGCGCGGCAAGAGACGGTTGCAGGGGTGAAGTGATGGCGCAAGAAGGGGCGCCGGAGCCGGTGCAAGGGATGGCTCAGAAGCCAAGGCGGGCTGTGAGGGTTGGGTGGCAAACATGAAGACAAGGCAGACCAGTGCTGGAAATGCACGACGCGCATAGAGTTTCCAGCCGGACGTTGCAGGGCTGAAGTGCCGCGAACCGCAAGCGCACTGTTGGCCTCAGCACGAGCAACGGCACCGCATCTGTCTGCACTGCCTCACACATGACCCAAAACACCGCCGCCTCGCCCCAGACTGCCTCCTTCCAAGAGACACCCACCTCCTTGATGGCGAGCAGCGCCCGCTGGTTCCACCAGCCGCGCGGCAGCAGCGCCGGCGCGAGCAGGGCCTCCAGCAGCGGGCTGGCGCGCACGCGGCCGACTTGGGCCTCCAGGAACGTCAGAGAGATGCGCCGCGGGCTGCGGACCTCGTAGCTGCGGGGCGAGGGAGGGGGTGGGGAGAGGAGGGTGAGGCGCACAATTTGTGACGGCGCGCGATGGCGTGCGCGGAGGGCCTCGTTGCGGAGGCACCCAGGCTGCCGCGTTGGACTCAATTCTCCGCAGCCGCCCCGAGCCCTTGCTGCCCCTGCTTTGACCTCGCATGCTTGCCTGCATGCGTGCATGCGTGCGTGCGTGCATGCGTGCATGCAGCGCACACATGCAACGTTCCGTCACCGCCGCCGCCATCGCTGGCCTGCGCACCTCGCCCCGACCGTGAACGTGACCCCTCCGCTGCCCTGCGTCAGCGGCGGCAGCCCGAACTCGACAATGTTATCCACGCGCCCCTCCTCCACGCTTGAGAAGCGCTGGAAGACGTCCCCAACGACCACAGGCGCCGGAAGGCCAGCAGGCAGCAGCGACGACAGGTCCAGCCCCACGATCGGGACGACGTCGGCGGCTGTCGTGTACACCAGGCGCCACTTGCCCTCCAGCAGGGCATAGTCCAGCCCGTCCCCTGGCTGCAGGCTCTCTAGGGCCACCTGTGCCTCCTCCACGTCGCCCCGCAGGTCCTGGGTGGTGTTGGCGCCGCGGCGGGTGTACTCCACCGCCTGCAGCAGCCGCGCCTTCGCGGTCTCGACGGACGGCGGTGCATCTGCGGCTGCTGCGAGGGCGGCGACGACGGGCAAGCGGAGAGCCCGGGGGCGGCGGAGGCGCGGCGCCGAGGGGAGGGCGCGGCGGCCGGCCTGTGGGGCGTAGCTGGTTGAGCACTCTGCTAGGGCGCCCACGCTGCGCATGGCTGCTCTCGGCGGGGTGCTGGCGATGCTGTCACTGCGGTGGGCCTGCAGGCGTGGGCGTGGTGCGATTGCACAGCTTGTGTAAGCAAGGACCAGCAGATCATTGCGGGCGCGCACAGGCGCACTGCAACGGCGGCACGATCGCAGAAAAGAGCATAGCGGCGCCGACCACGAAGAGCGCAGCACGGCCACATGCAGCGGTGGCGCGGTGTCCTCCTGCAGCTCACCCAAGCGCAAATGCAGCACGTGCTTCTGCTAAACAGCCACTCAAATGGCCAGCTGTGTCTGCACCAGAAAGCTGTGGGTCACCAGGCGAACGCTCAGTTGATCCACGAGTTTCAGGTACCGGTATTTGATTGTGTGCAATAGTAGCAACCGTTTTGTAAGTTCAAGTGCAAGTGAGCCGGTGATATTTATTCGGAAACCCCGCAACAAACATGCAGGCACTCTCGCTGCTGCTCTTGCTGCTCGTTGGTAGCGTAGGCTCACTACATGCGGTGTCAGCCAATGACTGTGACGCCAAGGGGTGAGACACTGCATGCCAATATTACGGTACAGCCCCGTCACGGCGCTTCGCCGATCGCCGCCGCAACGCCGCGCTCAGATTCGTTGTGCATGCACGATGCAGCGCGGCGACCGGGTCAGCGGGCGACGCGGCAGCGGTATGTGCGCCCCCACCGCCCCAGTGCTTCAAGCCCTGTCGCGCACCCCTCACACACGCAGCTTCACGGGCCTGGCGAGCTGCTCTGACTGCGATCTGCTGGGCGAGTACCTGCCAGAGTCCGATGCGCTGCTGGCCGACTGCAAGGCGTGCTGCGTGAAGGACGTGCAAGAGGCGGCGAAGTTCACAAAGGCCGTCATAGAGCTGTGCCCCTTCAAGCGCGCCGGGCTGCCGCAGGTGCGCCCCTCACGGCGCGCGCGCGGGCGGCAGCGGCGGGGGCAGCGGGGTGTCCTAGGTATTGCAATGCATCTGGTTTGTGAGGGCCCGCCAACACGACTGCGCCGCAATTCCAGAGGTTGGCTTCGGCAGGGCGGCCATGGCACAAAGACGGCGCCGCCAAGCTCCTCTTTGGAGACCTGCAGTCTACGATCAAGCAAGCTGGGCCTACTGGCACGTGCACCTTGCCAGCTCAGCCCTGTCCCCCCACCGACCGTCACCCAGCACGCCCACCACGTCCCGCCGCCCCAACGCTCCCCTACAGATCGAGGAGTTCATCAAGAAGCAGAAGAAGGCGTTCGGCGCGGCACTGTCCGTCCGCGAGTACCCCGGCGCCTACCCCAAGCTGGTGCTGTCGGACAAGGCCAGCGGCGCGCACAGCAGCATACGCATCGACAACTGGCGGGCGTCCACCATCGCAGAGTACCTGCGGGACAAGCTCACGCTGCCGGCGGCGGCGGCGGCGGGCAAGAAGGCCGCAGCGTCGTGATGGCGCGGGCGCGCACCGCTGCACATTTGCGATGACCATTTGACCTGTTTCTGTGCGGTGTGTAGTTACCTTGTGGTGCCCCACCTTCGCTGGCTGCTTCGTCTGCCTCTAACCCTCCCTTGTTTGACATTCAACTGATTGCTGGCAGCCCTTGGTATGTTGGGTGATTACCAAGCGTTCCTAACTCTTGTTCTTGATGTGAAGCGCCAGGCGCCGACGCGCACTGCGGGCTTTGCAGTGTGTAGACGCACACCACACTGTGAAATAACGCATGGAGAACACCATCAAGTGCTTATTCACTCGCCATCACTGGCGGCAACTCCAAGCCAGGGCACAGCCGAGAATTGGCACCAGCAGGCGCAGCCCAAAGGGGTCCCGGCGAGGGGGCATGCATGCGCGAGAGGCAGGTACTGCCAGGTACTGCAGGGGCGCCTATGAAACTTGGGAGGCAACAAAGGACGGGCAGCATGTCAAAGCACGAACAAAATAGACTACAAGAAGCAGAATCGATCATACAGGGAGCCGGATGAACCCATGTGCTGGCGCACCGCAGTGGCAGCACACTCATGTCTTGGCAGTTTGTGTGGATTTCGGGGGGCATCGCAGAGCGTGCCATCGGAAGCGCTGTTGAATCGCTCCGTGCTGCTGACAGGTGCCATTTCCTCGGTACGCAAGTGCTGTATTGCGTTCGCAAAGGAGGCAAGGGCGCACCCGCAAGCTGCGCAGCAGGCAGCACGTACCACCGCCCGCGCAGACGACAGACCCGCAGGGCGCACACTCAAGTAACGGGGGAGCCAAGCTGGTCGATCCGGGTCGGCGCAGGCGAGGCGAAGCAGGCCTGACACACCAGGACCGGGCAGAGCGCGTGCGCCGCGCTCGTACAGCATGCAAGCGCCTGCAGCTGGTCTCGGTGATGACATGTCATCATGGGTTAAGGTCGGTCGAAGTACGCAGACGTGCCTTCGTGCGGTCGGAGCTCGTGGTCAAATGTAGGGAGGCTTCCCCAATACGAATGTCGAATGTGGCCAGAGCCGGCCATCGATGCCGCGACGCCTGCAAACTTGCGGGTTAGGAATACGTGCTGCCTCCTGCTGAAATGAGGCTTGGCGCTGGGATGCATGGCGCCGGGAGGCTTGGCGCCGAGGCGCCTTTTCGGCGGTCGGGGGCCTTGACAAACACATGAATGCGGAAAGCTGGCATGGTTCACCTCCCCGTCATTGTATTATTCTGCAAAGTGATCACACGAGCAGTGTGGCTGGCTCAGAGATTGGGGCGCCCTTGACCACCTGCCCATCCGCGCGCACGCCCGCTGCGCCCCTCTCCGCCCCGTCCACATCCATCTCCACTGCCTGCGCCTCTGCGCCCGGCACAGCGCCCCCAGCAACAACGCCCGCGCCCTCGCCGCCGGCCCGGCTGTCAAGCCCGTCCGCGGACAGCGCGACCAGGCTGTCGATGCGGCGCGCGAGCGCGGGGTTGGCGAGGCGTGTGAGCGCGTTGGCGGCAACGGCGGCGCCGGCCCTGAGCTCCAGCACCTCGTCCTCCAGGGAGCGCGCGGCCAGCAGCATCTGGGTGGTGTGTGCGGGGGTTGGCAGGATCGCGGGAGGAGATTGCGAGAGCGTACGCTAGGAGTGGGAGGAGAAGAGCAGAGGCCTGCCAGCGGGGTACTTCAAGGCGGGCGAGCAGGAGCGAAGCAGGCCTGCGCGTGAGCGCGCCCCTGGCGGAGCAGCTCAGCGCAGCGCACAGCAACGGGCGCGGACGCCGCAACAGAGCACCTAGCAAAGCACAGCAGAGGGTCGCACCTGCTGCAGACGCTCCAGGGTATCGCACAGCCTGGCCCTTGTGGATGGGTCGCCGCCAACAGCCTGGCGCTTCGCCTCGGCCTGCTCCTGCGCCGCTGCAGCCGCCGGTAAGGCAAAGGAAGGCGGCTTGGGGGCGGGGGCCGGGCGCTCCGTGGCCAGTGCGGGTGCAGATGGCGCCCGCACCGGAGCCAGCGCCGGCGACACGTGCGCTGCTGCGACTGCAGAGGCCCCGCCAAGAATAGCTGCGGCCGCCGTCGTGTGCATGACGATCGCAGGCGCGGCTGTGGCTGAGGGGGCGGCCGGCTCAGCGCCAGAGGGGCGCACAGTCGGCGCCTGCTGCAGCGCTACAGGCACATGCATCGCGGCCGGCGTCGGGACCGTAGCCTGGTGCTGGTTGCTGGGCTTGAAGACAGTCAGCTGGGGCAGCTGCTGGGGCACATGGTCAGTCTGGGCGGGAAGCTGCCTGCTGCAGCCCGGCCTGACGTCCAGGTCCATAGGCTCAGCAGATGCGCCGGCCAGCACGCCCTTGGCTGGCGAGGGCGGCAACACGCGCGCCGGCAGCTGTGCCGCCCGCGGCGGGG